ATATTGAAGTTTTTAATGCACCTTCATACCAGAGGGTAGATAGAGATTATGAACCACTATTTGACTAATTGCTTTTACATTCCTACATCTATAAATGCTTGTTTGTTTCGGGTGTATGATACCAGCCTTCTTGTGTATTCAATATGGACGGAATACATCCATCTGAAACGGTGCAGACCAGCTGCCTCTCATGCCCTACATGCCCAATTTTATCTTACAGAGATACCTGAATGGTTGGATTGTTCAGGTTAATATAAAGCCCTCTCCAAATATTTTTATCTGAGCAGTCCAATCGGCTAGATAAAACTCAGTGTGTGTAAGCAGATTTAATATGTATGTGAACTGTCCTCAGTTATGCCTACAGGCAATAGACTTATCTGGAAAATTAGGACCTGTCCCACCACTGGCTGATAGTCTCAGATAGCTTAAAAATGATAAGGGAACACAATCCAATATTTCCATTACATATTTTACTTGTTTGATTGTTGTCAGATAATTTACAATTTGGGGGGACAGGGACAGTCTTAACTTTCACATAAATTTTGTTGTCTTGTTTTCAGTTAAAGCAAGTTGTAAGAAGGTGCATGCTGATTGGTTGGGACATGAAACATAGTTGGCATTTGGAATTTGCCCAGCTAATGTTGCCACCCTGGTTGCGCGATGTGGAAACAGAGCTCAAAATGCTGCCCCAAGCTGTCACGGTGACTGTCTAAATTCATTTTCTGCCTAATTTGTAATATTAAAGGTTTTTGGGTTTTTAATCTGAATTTAAGATTTATGCAGACTACATTTATTTGATACTAGTTGTTGCTTGCGACTTCGCATTGAAATAAAATTAATAAAAAATGCAGTCTATATCACTCACTGATAACATAGCTTTTTAATTGTGTAAGAATTTTTGGAATCGCCCAAGTAGTCTTACAACAATCCAATGGAAATATCGGATTTTGTTACCTTATCTGACAGTGACGTCAATTTTAAGCTATCTGAGCCTCTATCAGCCAGTGGTGGGACTGGCTCTAAACAAAATGTTTCATTAATTTCCATTTAGTGTGATTTAAACATTTGTTTTATAACAAAAGATGGAGCTTATAATAATTTTGTAAATACATTACAAGGACACAATTACTTGATAAGTACAAGACACAAAGTGTCGTTAACTTGGCAAGTAACATGCCTTTCAAAGAAAGTTCCAGTGAAAAGTTTTGTTCACCATCTTGTCTATTCTTCAATGTCCTGTTAGGAGGAACTTCGTGAAAGTAAAACTATGGAGTCG